TAGCAGCCTGATGCATAGCTGGATACCACCCGAACAATGGTCCATATGTTCCATGCACAGATCTGGCCCTGGAGCCGATTACTCTGTCAAAAAAGCCTTTCCTCTCAATGGAGAATTTACTTTCAAGAAACAATAGGTCCAGCTCAGAGTAAAAGAAAAAATGACAGGCATTAGGGACTAAGTTAAGGTGTTTTTGTTCACTTTTCTTCAAGTAGGTTTTTCATTCTTACAGAAGTTTATGGGAACACAAAACCCATCAGAAGCAGGCCAAACTAATGAAATTGGGGCTCCTAAAACCCAGAGGATCATCTATCTATCTATCTATCTATCTATCTATCTATCTATCTATCTATCTGTCTGTCTGTCTGTCTGTCTGTCTGTCTGTCTGTCTGTCTGTCTGTCTGTCTGTCTGTCTGTCTGTCTATCTATCTATCTATCTATCTATCTATCTATCTATCTATCTATCTATCGTATCTATCTATCTTGACTTTGGTTGGTGTTCTTCTTTCATAGACATTTGCTTTCTTTTCCTGCATATTTTCTGGAAAAAGTTGCTTTTATAGCATGTTTCATTTACATCACAACTTTATCTACTTCCTACACATTTATTTTCCAACAGCATTTTGCATGTTTTTGAAAACCACACAAGGCTGAGGACAGTTTTAGGCATCTTCAAGCCTTCCACCTTATTCTACAAGGCTGGGATTTGTAGTTCTGCCTGTTTCTGGCAACGGCAGGTTGACAAACATGAGCTACTAACATCATCATGGGTTGTAAACATGTCATCTATACAGTATTCCAAGTTCTCTATGCAGTAAATGGAAGGTGCCCCTTTAAGACCAGTTGTTATCAGCATCAACTCTGTCACATATAACATTGCTGTTTCTGGCTACCATTCTTTCACCCCTTGTTCACAGCACAGTACACCACAAGTTCAGCTGAATGTGACCAACTACTACCAGGGGCGGACTGACAACTCATGGGGCCCCCGGGCAATTGGAAATCATGGAGCCCCTGTGTCCTCGCCAACACTCAAACCACACCCAAAAAAGCCTATGAAAGGTATCAGGGGCATCTCATGGGGCTCCCTACTGACCACGGGCCCTCAGGCAGTGCCCGAGTGCTTGAATGGTCAGTCCACCCCTGACTACTACTAGATAGCATGGAAATGCAGCAATGTAAGCCTCTATTACCCCTTTCTGCCATTGTCACTCCATAGAAGGAACACAAATAGAAGGAGCACATAACAAAAAAAAAACTGTATATCTGATGCTGGAGACACTTTAAGTTCATAATTTTGTTACTGAATTAATCAACTATGTTTAGTAAGCTTCCAGCTATAAGACAGCCAGGCACGTTGGTCCCCAAATTATGAAAATCCATAAACCAAGTATTAAATTACTTATCAGAATTGCTTATCAGAGATTCTGATTGATATGTGTTTACTCAAGAAAAAAGTCTCAACTTACCCCAAGCCAAAAGCAGTAGTATTCTTCTTCCACATCCTATGAAAGGTTATGGCAACCCAACCCTAACAATAAACTGAGGCAGGACTGTTAAGTTGAGACCAGGGTTTATCACTTCAGCTCTTCTCTGTATGCAGTGCCATGCTGTAATGTCTACTTATTTGCTTCAGTTTCCTTATCAGGCATTTTTGCATGTTGTCATGGTAACTAATAAAAATTCATGTATAAGAAAACATAATTCGAAATCACCACCACCTGCGTGGCATAGATTGCTAATAAAGGGATGTTCTAGCTGTATAGTAGAACAATTTTATGTTGACTAAGCAAAGCTTTAGTAAGGACAGACAGATGCTTTGCGTCCTGTATCTGATCATCAAAAACATTATTAAACGCTGTGGATTGTAGTTTATTATATGTTCTGTTATAATGAGATATGTGGACAGAAGCATGGAACGTACTACATCTAAAACATTATATGAATGGGTACACTACTCTGCATATAGCAAAAGTGCTGAGATATCAGTGGCCCAAGATTCAATACTCCCAGGGTGCTCAAATTATACTCTGCAAGCATGGATAGATGAATTCATATTATTTCCTGAGTCAGTTTAGTAACACTTGTGCTGATAGAATTACTTCAATGATGTCTCTTCTTAATTTGGGTTACTATTAAATAGTCATGTAACTGGAAGCAAATCACTGTGTTGTATCATAAACAAACCTTTTTTTTAATGAAATATTCGTTTCACTGATTTTATCTTTTGTTGCTGATCACTTGCAGCTGCTTCTTATCTACATGCATTAACTGCAGAGTGATATCTGCAAGCAGTGATGGCTGCCATGGGGTCTAAGATGGAAGGGGTCCCTCATTGGAGAAGCTGTAAGAGAAAACTAAATTGTGAAGCTTCCAGTATAGAAGGGCTGAAGCAGGGGCGGACCGACCATTCGGAAACTCGGGCACAGTAGGGGGCCCCATGAGATGCCCCTGGTACATTTTTCATAGGCTTTTTTGAGTTTGGGCAAGGACACAGGGGCCCTGTGATCCCCTATTGCCCGGGGGCCCCATGAGTTGTCAATCCACCCCTGGGCTGAAGTCAGACCTCGGTATCATCTAGTCACAAGTCTCCCTCTGCGCAGTTAGAAGATTTTGCTTAGATTTCTTAGTATATTTATTTCCCTATGAAATTAACCCAAAATGCTTAATACAGGCACAAATCCAAAGTGTCTTCTCAGCTAAAACTTTATTTGACTGCAAATATCAATATAGTTATTAATAATATTACTACAATATCTATAACTTTTTTCCACAGCTCTGGTCCTTTGTAGTATACTGACCATGCTGACAGCTCTCCTGCTGCCTGTACTCGACTTAGGCATACTTTAAGTTAAAGGAGGAGTTTGGGGTGCTTTAAAAATAAACATGCCTACTTACCTTGATGCTGCAGCATCACTGTGATGTTGCAGCTGTCACCTGATAGTTCTAAGACAGAAAACTGGGTGATCACATGACCTCTGGTCACTCATTTCTCGGTCTTCTCGAAGAAGAGAGCACTGACTGTCAGTCACTACTTTCTGCTGTGCCCCTCCAGGCTCACTGAAGTGCCAGGATGGAGAGGGGGTGAGAGCAGCTGTCTATCAGTTATGCAGCTGGGTGGATCCCAACAATATCCTTCCAGAGCCTGGAGTGGCTCTGTGACATCAGCAGACACCTGGCTTTAGCCCACTATTAGCTGTCTCTGGGTCACAGGAGAACAAAAGTAAGTGCACTGTTGTGACCCAGAAGAGAAGTATGGCCAAAACAGCAAATCTTGTAGATTGTGTTTATAGGTTCACTTGACCCAACCTAAAATGAACAGTTAAGGGACCATACTTCTCTTTTAAGATCAACAACACGTACTGTCACAATTGACTGTGCCAGCTGCGATAGAGTTAGTTAGCCAGGTGGGCCCCTCAAAATTTTGCTACTCCCTTGCCTGCAAGGATTTCTCAGGACAACATAGTAGCATTAGTGGACTGTGCCTGCGCAATGTGCATTGGCAAAGATGCTCATAGTTTTCATTGTGAGAGGGTGTGACTAGGTGGCAATGCAGGAGCACAATTAGGAGGTAGGGACAAGGCGTTGTCACCCTACATTAGGAAGTGTATGAACAAGGACCTTCTTGGCAGGATCACCAGACATTGCATCTGCAAGTGAGGTCTGCTCTATGTGCCCAAGTGCTCCTAGTCTGCCTAGCTTCCTCTGTATCAAGATTACTGCAGAAAGTTCAGAATGATAGGTGTGGAGCTATGCAGATAGCAGCATGAATATTGATACAGACTCAGCCTATCCCTGAGTGAAGGGCTCTAAGGCATGCTGAGTAGCTTTATATATTCACTGAGTTCTGTCTTTCCATTATAGGTTTGCCCAAGCCTGGTGGAGGACACGTTGCTCTCACAGGCAGTTGCTGCCGTGGGCCCCAGATGGGCTACTTGAGAGCCTGAATTGCTGAGACATGGGTTCTGCTACGCTGACTGAAAGGCTGTCTCCTGAAGATCTGCTCTGGTATCACAGAGGAAGGTGTCCAGTTGCTCTTGGCCTTTGAAAGTACAGACATTCCTAAGGATCTTAGATACTGTATGCTGTTGACCCCCTTTTCGTGCTAGGAAGTCAGCTGTGGGGTTAGCAAAGGGAATACTGGTTGGTGTTCCAAAGAGTTTTGTCCTTCTGCCCACTATTACTTAAAGGGACATTGCTCTGGGCTCTAAAGAAGTTACTGTTGCTACTGCTTAAAACTGAAGTCCACCATTTTATTCAATCACAGACTCAGATATACCTTGTTCTGAAGATTAGTCAAAGTCCTCAGTGTACATAGCTCCTAATCTGGAGTATCCCACTCATCTCCCTCATCCCCATCCCTATTCAACAAAGATAAAACCAACAAAAACAACCCCCTTAGACTGATTTTTGGAGAAACGAGTGAATGAGGCTATGTGCCTGCTTGTGGAGCAAGGTATTCGGGGAGCACCTGGACAGTATCCGTGCAGCTCCTTCGGGAATAGTGCTACATATACTTTATTTTTAAGCTGCTGAATAAAACAAAGTTTGTAGAACCGTTAAAAAATGAATAGACCACATAGTAGCAAAGAAGATGACAGGTTCTCTTTAATAATTAGCATAATTACCAGCAAGATGGTGACTTGACTTCATAGTTGTAGGTTTTTCATCCAGCTATTGCACCCGTATGTTGTTATTAAATTAAACCAGGAAAGCAAATGTAATTAACTTCTTAATTATGTATTTCATGTCACTAATGACACAGCTGATAGCTTTAGTTGGCATTACTTACTCTTGCTGGAATACTGAAGATTTCTGAAATACAGTTATATCTAAATTCTATGAAAATGGTTGGTTTGTTATGAGTGAACAGAGACTGTTATGGAATGACAAAGGAATGAAAAGTACTGAAATCCTGCAAAATGTTCTGAAACCATCTGAGTACACGTTGTATTCTCTGACTTGGGTTTCTAGTTCACTCTAGGGGTGATTAGCACAGGGCTTGAAATTTCCACTCGCCTGCTCGCCAATGGCGAGTGGAAATTATGGTGGGGGCAAGTGTGTCCCCAGGGCTGTCTTGCTGAGCAGGCTCGGGGGTCAGGCTGGATCTGTCATTGGCACTGGGGAGCCGTCAGACTGCTCAATAGCTGAGCGCAGTGAAAGCAAAGGAAGGAGTGTGTGCTGTGCTCTCTGCCTCCCCCTAGAGTGCAGTACCCGGCTCTGTGAGTGAACAACGAAGTACTGCAACTTTTTATGGGGGGGGGTGTACGTATACATATGTGTTTGTGTGTTTCTGTGTATGCATGTACATTTGTACATGTGTCTGTGTGTATGTACATGTGTGTATCTGTACATGTGTGTGTGTGTACATGTGTTTGTGTGTATGTACGTACATGTGTCTGTGTATGTATGTACATATGTCTGTGTGTGTACGTACATGTGTCTGTGCGTGTGTATTTCTGTGTATGTACATGTATCTGTGTGTATGCATGTCTGTACGTGCCTGTGTGTGTATACATGTGTCTGTATGTGTGTGTGTACATGTGTCTCTGTGCGTGTGTGTACATGTTTCTGTGTGTGTATGTACATGTCTGTCTGTGTTTACAGGTGTCTCTGTTTGTGTGTGTTTGTTGGTGGCGAGTAACTCTAAGGCCTGGCTAGTAGCTCAGGACTTGAAATTTTAAGCCCTGGATTAGCATATACGAATAATACTTAAAGATAGTGAGATCCTGCCACCAGACCTTCAAAAAAACTGTTTCCATAAAGGTATATGTGTGTATTTAACATATATTATGCATGTTATTTACCTGGAAAAGCCTCCAGGAGACTGGATGTACACATCCTAAAACCTTTAACCTGGGTACACACATACCAAAGTCCTTGATGTACAGATGATTGGCCTCCCATTTGATGGTGCCTGCAAAATGCCACAGCAAATGCCTCTTGGCAGACCCATCTGCATGACACCAATCATCTTTTTAGCTGTCTGTAAGGGTGGCATTCTGACCATCACTGTAAGGGGGGGCATTATTCTACTGGTCATCAATGACTTGGTTTTAGCATGGGTTCTCCAAGACCTGAAAATTATTTCAAGGGTTTATCTGGGGTAAAAGGGTTGAAAAAGCTGCTCTATAGTATTCACCTTTGCCCTTTTCTGAACTACTGCATAAAAACATACGTTGTGAAATGAGGGGAGGGGTGGAGGAGCTGGCCCTGCACCTACCATAATTAGACACTCTCCGAAGAGAGAAGGGCTGTGGCATGCAAAGAAGGAAGAAAATAGCTGTGCTAGGGAATTAATATTCTGGAGATGTAACATTTTCTAGCATGTTAAAAGGCACAGTGCAAATAAATAAAATTATGAACAGTACAAACAATGCAAGCAAGCATTTAAAATGCTAGTTTTCCCCATGCTTTAACCTGCAGTTATTTTAATTTGCTCCTTGGGTGTCTTTAAAATCTTGCTTCAAAGTGACTTCTAGCACTCCTGAGAACATCTACATAATGGGCAAAGAACCTATATGGGGCTATTTAGGTAGTGTTTTAAGACATGCTTATGTATGCAGGTGCAGTTCACCCTCTCTGCTGTAGGTGGTACTGTTCAGCTGTCCGCTAAACAGAGGGAAATGGAAGTTGAGAGGAGCTTTGTTCCTATGAAGCGTAAGTAGGTGTCATCAGGAGAGCAGCTGCCTGATTGTGCTGCCCTGGCTGACCTCCGTGGCCATCTTTAGTTAGGGCAATGCTAACAAACATCACTGTCCCACTGCGGTTGGCGCTCATTTGGAAACTGGGTGGTGTAGGGACAGGATCCTGCTGGCTAGGAACAGTGTACCTCGCACTAGGGAGAGGTTCCGGTCCAGTAGGGATAGTGCAGGTATGCCACCGCCTGGCTCTGCCATCTGGGAACTAGAGGGTTGGGATAAGGACCTTCCTACTGGTTTACTAAGCCACCTTTCATCAGAATCTGTTCCGGTAATGTAAGCCTATTAACGTGTCCTCCCAAGCACAGAGACTGTGTTAAAGTATTGGCAATGTTGTAAAGAGACATTGTACCTGGGTTACCTGGAATGTTGAGGCTCCATTGCCATATTGTTTGAAACTGTAACTGAGAACCTTGCCACTGTCTTCCTTGTCTTGTTACTGCTACTTTTCAAAAAAGAAAAAATCATGCCACCTACCTTTGTCTCTCTGTACCTTTAAGCAGGTACGTTCGTTCTGTAATCCGATGGTGCCACCAATGATTTAGAAAATTGGTAGTTTCATAAATTTTCTAGCATGCCCGATAAATGAAATGGAGAGGAACCACGAAAATTGGCCGGTGCCATTGCTCCATTAACAGAGCTAAAATCAGCCGATTATTCTTAGGTCCGATTTTTGAACAAAAAATCGTTCAAAAACTGACTCATGTATGGCCGGCCTTAAGCAGTCCATACATGGGTTGAATTCCGAATGATTTTTGACCAAAGATGGAAAACATCGTTCGTTCTGTAATCCAATGGTGCCACCAATGATTTCGAAAATCTGTAATTTTTCACAAATTTTCCACCATGTCCGATAAACCAAATGGGAAGGAACCACGAAAATCGGCTGGTGCTATTGCCCCATTAACAGAGCAAAAATCGACCGATTATTCTTAGGTCCAATTTTCGAACAAAAAATCATTCGGAAATTGACCCATGTATGGCCGGCCTTACTCTGCCATGGGTGCCAACCAACTGGCTCCGCCCACACCAAGACTTCATTAATTATTAGACATTATCCCAAATCCTAGAATGCAGTAAAAATTCAGCAGCATTGTCTTAATAAATCAGTAGCAGTCCCCGCACTGGCAGTAAAATTAGCAGGGCATAGTCTGCCACATTAAAGGCTAAGTTGACCTTTTTATTTTCTAAAATTCAGCTCCCATATGCACAGATATACCAATAATGTACCTCAATATGCAAGCACTCTTTGATCTGGAGAACAAGGCCTTACCTTAGCCTTTGGTAAATTTCTTAGAAAGCTTTTTCAATTCCTGGAATGTAGACAGAGGACAGAGGAGCCAGTAAGACCTGGAAGAAGATTACCAGCTGATCTCTTTAGCACACGCATCCTGCAGAGTCATGCAAAGCAGTGTGCAGTAGCTGACAGGGAAGAGAACTGTATTGTTTACATACAGTTCTCTCCCCCCGTCGGTAATGCTCCTCGATCACCGGGTGGCAGCGAGTAATCACAGGCTGGGACCCGGTGATTGACAGCCGAAGCCACGAATAGCGGTGCAGGTAGGGATCACACGCGCCCCCTACCCGTAAATGCAAAATGATGTGTATATATACGTGCTTTTGTGCACCCTTGCCACCCTGTAGCAGTATATCTGCTATAGGGCGGCTGGAAAGCAGTTAAGCTCAGAGTTTAAGAGCAGCTCTGGTTTAGTATGGATTGAGTGGGGGGGGGGGTCCCCTTAAAATCCACACCAGACCAGGTCTGCTATGGATTGGAAGGACCCCCACACATTTAAAAAAATATATTTAATTCTGGCATTCTTTTGTTTATATTCAGTTTGTCAGCAGGGAAATCCTACTGACAGTGATGAGTCATTGGTTGTTAAGGACATGGGCAGCCGTCTGCTCCTTGACAACACAATATTCACTGCTAAGCAATGGCAAAATGCCAGCGCAAAAACTGAAAAACGCAGACAATGAGCATTTTTTATCCAGTGTTTTTCTGTTGTTTTTTTAACGCCCCTAGTGTGCATGGAGCCTTAACATTCTGCACAATCTCTAGGCACCCAATTCTAAAATGTAAAAAAATCGAATCTAATAGTTTTACATAATGCAGCAACATCTACATACATACAGTGCCTTGGACAATTAAATCATACCCCTTGAAATTTTTCCACAATTTGTCATGTTACAACCAAAAACTTAAATGTTTTATTGGGATTGTATGTGATAGTCCAACACAAAGTGGCACAGTTGTGAAATGGAAGGAAAATGATAAATGGTTTTCAAAATGTTTGATGTATGTGTTATGCCTTGTGTTGAACTGCTTGAGGATATACTTTTAATGTAGTATGCGAGTAGCAGATTCTGGCCATTACAACTTGTTTACTAATTTGATTTTGATTTCTTCCTCTGTCCTCCCCTTCTATTTAGTGCTAGTTAGTTTAGTTCTAGCTAGACCCTCCCCACTTCTTTCATGTTCCGTCAAGCAGTGTTAGCTATTTGCAGAGAGAGGGTTTAGGAAAGTCATTGGGGTTGATTTACTAAAGGCAAAAAGACTGTGCACTTTGAAAGTACACTTGCACTCTGCAAGGGCATTTGCCCCAGAGGCTAGTAAATGAGATGGGGTGAGGTGTTTGTTTGCAAAGAGAGGACAATCACATGCAAGAAAAATGTGACAGCATTTTTGCTTGCACATGATTGGATGATGGAAGTCAGCAGAGCTTCCCCTCATTTACTCAGCTGCGGGGCAAATGCATTTGCAGAGTGCAACTGCCCTTGCAAAGCGCACAGTCTATTTGCCTTTAGTAAATCAACCCCAGAATGTTGCATTTCAAAAGACTGGAAAAACATCATGTATACTGCAATGAGCTGAAGTAAAGCTGTGTGGGATTTAACTTCTGTCTTATTGAAGAGCTAAGCTGCCTGTGGATGCTGCCAAGTCAGTAGGTGACCATTCTGTGCAAGCAAACTGGGACTAAGAAGGTATGTCAATGCATAAATCGGCATTTGAGACAGAAGAGCTGTTCTCTTCTCCCTGAGACTCCAGTCTGTGGGAGGAACCTTGGTGTCATAATGAAGAACACAAGGCTATTAACCATGCATTGTATGTGGTGGCGGTAGAAGTGCGACCGTGGCCAGGAGCAGCTTGCAGAAGAGGCCATGGGGGACTACTGACAGATCAAGGGAGCCTGCTGAAGCGAGGAAAAAGTAAGTACTACAGTCTCTTCTGCAACCCCCTAGACTTAACAATAATTTAACCCTTGCAATGTGCGTGCGTTGGGGGGAGGGGGGGACTACTATATGGGCATTTTTTTTGTTGTGCCCAGACTTGGGATTTAATTTCTGGAATATGTCAGTTAGGTATAATCATTACACTAACATCTGTTTAGCTTTTACATGTGCACCGTATGCATCTGATATATCTGCCAAAACTCATTTTTGATGCTGGCAACAGAATCCAAAATCAGTGAAGGGTAATGATACACAGTCAGGTGCATCAGACAGTCTCTGTCTGTATGCTGAATTACTACAGTACAAACACAATCAAATGAGATTTGATGCAACACTTTGTGCATATAAACAATTAGTGAATGGCCTATGAATTCCTGATTGTGTTTAAAAAACATCTTTCGTTAAGGAAACATTATGTGGTGCTGTGTTCTTATAACTGTTAGCAATGGATGGATAGGATACATTCATACAAACACCTCTTTTTTTCTGTAAGACTGGGACTGATTTACTAAAGGCAAATAGACTGTGCACTTTGCAAGTGCAGTTTCACTCATTTTCCCCAAAGCTTTATGAATGTGGTGAAGCTCTGCTGATTTCCATCGTCCAATCATGTGCAAGCAAAAATGTAGTTTTTTTTTATTTTCCTTGCACGTGATTGGGTATTGATTACAAAGTGAAGCTTCACCGCATTCACTAAGCTTTG